TTTTTGGCAGGGGAAGCGGGGAATTTTTTAAATTCTGATTGTTTTCCTATGAGGATAGTGTTATAAATACTGAAGTCTAACTTAAAACATGTTCTGGTTTCATGAAGTCGCACTGAGTAAGATTCTGCTGGACCCACTGAGTTACACTCAACTCATTCCCACTATTCTCAAACAGGAGTTATCTGGGACACACAACAAGGTAAGAGAGTGGGATTTGGCACAGAAACTGCACGGTCAAAATAATTTAAATGTCTTTCTGAAAGGAGTTATCTGTGCATGCAAGTGTGGTACAGTGGAATACACAGAGCGCTCCTTTCAAGAAAGCATAATTAACCTCAGCCTTCTGGGAACTGGAGAGCCAAGAAAGGCATTTACCAAGTGGAAGATGGACATAAATTTAAATATAAAAAACATTTTCACTGAAGTTTTCACTTTCATTTTCAACAAGCTCCAGTGCTATATTCAGGACAGTATCAGCCTGATAGTCTTTCACTGGAATCTGATGAAGCAAATAAGCAGAGTTATGTTATTTTAGTAGCAATTACACTCATTTGCCACAAAATTAATCTGTAGAAAACGTAATTTAGTCATTTTTCCATTAAAAAAGGACATCCTGACTAATAAAGACTATTTTGTAGGCACAGAATTAGGAAAATTTGTTAATCTGCAGTCAGGAGCAGAATAAAAAAATAGTAATGACATCATAAGCAAGTGAACTTCCTTAATTAATAGCTAACGATGTAAAGTTTTGGCTCTTCTAGAAAACAACATCCTGTAAATATTTTCCCTGCCTTGTGAAAAAAGTGAAAACATCGACAAATAGAGAACCAAGAAAAGACATTCAAAACTACCCCAATCAAAATTCATCCTTTAATATTATTGAAATATTTAATTTTGATTCTTACCTTTATATGATTGTACTTTGTTTTGGAACAAAAAGTCATATTGAGCCCAAAATGGGAACGATCTGTTTAATGGCACTGAAGAGAACTTTCTTCCACAAGGCAATAACATAAAGAAGCTAAGAAGTATTTTGAAGGAGGAATGAATAAGACAGACTATTGCAGGTGAATGGTTTTGTATGAACTGGCATTTTCTGATTTAAAAAAAAAAGTTTGCTGAAATATTTCTCAGATGGATCTACCTGGGCCTCTAATTCATTGGCACAGGCTCAGTATCAGTCACTTAAAATATGTGTTTCATCATGCACCTAAAATCGTGACATTCTTTAAAAATACTTAATACAAAAATCTTTTATTTCCTTTATACTACATATTTACAATTCTATTATCAAGGTCCTGTAGAAAATGTAAACAAGTATACACAGGTGTAAATAATATGGCTTGAGAAAGGTTTCCCCTTTGATTAGCTGCTCTAACGACACATCAGTATAGGTAGATAAGAAAAAAAACCAGTACCTTTTATAAGCTGCTGTGAAACAGCAAAATGTAAGCCCTTGGGGTTTATGCATTAGCTGCTGAGTAACTGTTCCAGTCATCGGGCATCTTTCCCTAAACTGAGATGTCTGACCTACTGAAACGGGGCAGTGGAGGGTCACCAAGGTAATTGGGGCTGAGGGAGCAGGGTTTGCTCTGTCTTCAGAAGAGAAGACCAAGGGGAGGTACTACTGCTGTCTTCAGCTACCCCATGGGGGCTGTAGATGAGATGAAGCCAAACCCTTCTCAGAGATGCACACTGAAAGGATGAGAAGCAGCAGACCAAAGTTGAAACTTAGGAAATTCTGATTAGAAACTATGAAAAAGAAAAAAATTGTGAGCATGAAATTTTCACTGGGACAGGGGCTTAAAGAGGTGATGGGATCTCCATTCTTGGAGATATTCAGAACTCAACTGGATGAATCTCTGAGCAGCCCCATTTAACTTGGAGGTTGACCAGGCTTTGAAGAGAAGCCTGGACCTCTACAGGTCTCTTACAATTTAACTTACTCTATGATTCCACAAAAAATCTCGAGTATAATGCAACGCTTGCATTACTATTGTAGTTTGGCTCTGTGATAAATACATAGTTAAGATCAAAATATGTCAATTGCTTAACTTGGATCATTCTTCTCCAGCTGTTGCTAAGATTATGTCTAATTGTCTCACACAAGATTTACCTTATCAGTTCCAGTTCAGTGAAATTGCCCAAATTCACATAATTGTAGGCTCAGACCCAGGCCATCAGGCCTCCAAAAGAACATTTAAAATGTCACAGCTGACAGTAAAACCCAGCTGAGAGCCACACATTTCTGAAGTTTTGGGACAACAGCAATTTTGTCACATTTACATTGAATAAACTTTCCAGCAACATTCATAGAGCTCTAAAGAAGAAATGCAAGGGATCAGCATCATCCCTCAAGATTTTCTGGCTGAAAGCACAGTTGCTAAATTGATTTTGACACATTCACAAGTATCTTTACTGTTTTTAGGATGACTTTCAATGCCTAACTGTAGCCCAGCTGTCCTAAAGAGGTTCCCAGAATGGAAATCATTACTGGTGTAAAAAAAAACAGGGGTTGACAGGCCAACAGAAAAGAGCTTGGGATCTGCTCAGGAAAGTTCCTGTCAGCGTCCTGGATCCACGCTATCTCCTGCCCCTCTCCACTGCACGGCTTGGCCGTCAGCGTGTGCCAGCACAGAGCCTTCACGTTGGAAATTGAAAATTAATCCATTTTATATATACTCTTATGTCTTACTCCGATTGCACACTTCTGCTGCCTCCTGGCAAATTAAACTCACCGAATGTCTCCCTCCCAAATACACATACATTTCATACCCAGGCTGATAAATTCTCTTTGCAATTTTTAAACGCGGTCAGAGCAACAGCATGAAGGAAAAGTTAGCAGCAGGTCACGAGGCAGGGTGCTAAATACGCTGTGAACAATGGCCCTCTCTCCCTCACCTCCCTAGAAAATACTGTAAATAATGGAGGCGCTGGCTTTCTCACCCAGGCACCATTAGGTAAATAAAAGTGCTGCCGAGCCCCGGCATCAGCTGCAGCCCCAACACGTGGGAGAACTCTCCCCGTGCGCTCCGAGCTTGGCCTTTTCAATTAGGGAATGTTATGAGAAAAGGTCTCCCCGAACACCTCTGGACCTGATTTTAATTTATGTAATACCACATTTTCATGTTAATAACAATGTGTATTTAAGACATCTGTTTGAAAGTCTGCAATGTTAATTTACTACAGAAAAAGAGCGCCCATAAAAGTCTGTTATATTCTCTCTCTCTCTTTTTTTTTTTTTTTTTTTTAATAAATTTTTTGTTTTTTACCTAAAGAGAGGTAAAAAGAGGCACTCTTGAAATCTTTTAGTCTGGTTAATGCAGAATATTAAAATAGAGAACAGTATTCCTTTATAATTACTTAGTCCTACACTAAATAACAATCTGTCTAAACAGACAAAATAGCACCAAAATGTCTTTGTTCTATTAAGTGACCAACAGCAGCTGTTGAATGGTGTCAGGATGTTTTAAAGCTGACAACTCAAACCACTGTGCAGTAAAGGCACGTCATAATTCCTTATATAAAGAACACAGAGAGTATCTCTAGGCATCTATCCTTGCTTAACATCTGCTTTCTCCATGCAAGATAAAACTCTTTTCTGCGTTAGAAAGTACTGTTTCATGAGAGCTGCTGCACAGTTTGACTTGACAAACCACTGAGAAACCCAGCTGACAAGATGGGAGAACGCAGAAAGCCAAAGAGCAGAAGACATCCTGCTCTTTGGAAGACACCCGGATGTAGCAAGATATAAACGGAGACCTTCCAATCAGTCAATCCACACTGGAAATGTGGCACATATTCTTAAATTAATTAACAACGTATTGAGGACTGTGACAGACTCTTCGGTTGCAAGTTTAAAATTAGATTGGACGCTTTTCTAGAACATATGATGTTATTCCAAGAGGAATTAATTTGGTGAATCCCACTAGTTTCTGTGGATTGTGACTTCGCAGTGGATCCATATTGGCTTCATAATCCTTGAAACACTCATCATATTTCACGCCGGTTGTCAAGCAGGTTTAGAAAGTCACTTGTACGTGGCGGGGCTCACTGCAAGTTGATACGTTACATACTACTTATCCTGATACTCTTTGGAACTGGTCTTACTAAAAACATGTCCAAGCTTTCAAACAATGAATTATATTCTATATATCAGAAAGAATGTCCAGAGCAGATTAATGGAGGGGTAAGAGGCTAGGAATAAATACGTGAAACAGATTCAACTTCTTAAAAGGATCCAGCTACTAAATGGCCTCTGTAGTCTTCCATAAGAAGTGTGAATACTTCAGTACAATTCAAGCCGAATTGAATAGCTGTTTTCATATCCAAATTCAAATACCGTCTGTGCATATAAAACAGTTCATTTATTAGTCCAAATGTTACTGTTGTAGAGCTCTTGGAAAAATATTCCCTCTTTCTTGAGTTTGTTCTTCATAAAAAGGAAGCTTTGGAGGGCCACCTAGAGAATTAAGTAGAAACACGGTTTCAGGTCTATATAACACAATACTGAAATATTATATAGATCATACAATTCACACTTAAATAATTCAGTAAATGGTACTCCTCAAAAGAAGGCAGAGACTTCTAGACTGATGTCCTCACAGAGGCAGAGAGCAGGCAACACAATAAAACACCTCTCAAATGGAAGGTTCCCAAAGTGTTTCCTAAACTAAATGCAGAATTGTATATCACCATCAAGCCAGTTGTGATTAGCCTGCAAGTGGGAAGAAATTTTTACTCAGTATTCTATCTCACGAAGAAGAGAAATTATCTAAATTTAAAAAAAAAACAAACAGGAAAACTCCCAACCCTTTTTTGACAGTACACTCACAAATCAATCCAAATCAATTTTCCAACGAAGAAGAGAAATTATCTAAATTTAAAAAAACCAAACAGGAAAACCCCAAACCCTTTTTTGATAGTGCAATGAGGGCTCTAGTACACTCACAAATCAATCCAAATCTATTTTCCAATTTTTTAGGATGACTTTCAATGCCTATGAAGTGATGAACAACAATAAGACTTCTGAGAAGCTTGAAAAATATCTACTAAACCTGTATTGTTTCAAATAGATCACAGTTTGAATTACGCTCCCAGGTGAGCAAGTGTCACTTGTTTTGTGCTGAACAGTTAATGACTCCAGATGTGTTTAAAACCTGATGTGAACCATGGAACCATGGGGTAAAACTGTTACTTCACCTACTCAGTAGCGAACCGTAACAAGAACCAACATCTTTGAAAAAATCACAAGTTGGCATCAATTATTGTCACTTTGTCTTTTCTAAGACAAAAATCTTCTCGTGCAGAGTTGTAATTTTTTATGGTGTGTGGATGGTAGGGTGAACACAAGAACTGGAACTGCTTGTACTACCACATCTACTGAGCCCACGGTCCTGAGGCCCTTTAATAAGTGCACTTTTGATACAATCAGACTCAAGAGGTTACTACATAGGTTTTGTAACTCCTAACCTAAAGAGAGGTAAAAAGAGGCACTCTTGAAATCTTTTAGTCTGGTTAATGCAGAATATTAAAATAGAGAACAGTATTCCTTTATAATTACTTAGTCCTACACTAAATAACAATCTGTCTAAACAGACAAAATAGCACCAAAATGTCTTTGTTCTATTAAGTGACCAACAGCAGCTGTTGAATGGTGTCAGGATGTTTTAAAGCTGACAACTCAAACCACTGTGCAGTAAAGGCACGTCATAATTCCTTATATAAAGAACACAGAGAGTATCTCTAGGCATCTATCCTTGCTTAACATCTGCTTTCTCCATGCAAGATAAAACTCTTTTCTGCGTTAGAAAGTACTGTTTCATGAGAGCTGCTGCACAGTTTGACTTGACAAACCACTGAGAAACCCAGCTGACAAGATGGGAGAACGCAGAAAGCCAAAGAGCAGAAGACATCCTGCTCTTTGGAAGACACCCGGATGTAGCAAGATATAAACGGAGACCTTCCAATCAGTCAATCCACACTGGAAATGTGGCACATATTCTTAAATTAATTAACAACGTATTGAGGACTGTGACAGACTCTTCGGTTGCAAGTTTAAAATTAGATTGGACGCTTTTCTAGAACATATGATGTTATTCCAAGAGGAATTAATTTGGTGAATCCCACTAGTTTCTGTGGATTGTGACTTCGCAGTGGATCCATATTGGCTTCATAATCCTTGAAACACTCATCATATTTCACGCCGGTTGTCAAGCAGGTTTAGAAAGTCACTTGTACGTGGCGGGGCTCACTGCAAGTTGATACGTTACATACTACTTATCCTGATACTCTTTGGAACTGGTCTTACTAAAAACATGTCCAAGCTTTCAAACAATGAATTATATTCTATATATCAGAAAGAATGTCCAGAGCAGATTAATGGAGGGGTAAGAGGCTAGGAATAAATACGTGAAACAGATTCAACTTCTTAAAAGGATCCAGCTACTAAATGGCCTCTGTAGTCTTCCATAAGAAGTGTGAATACTTCAGTACAATTCAAGCCGAATTGAATAGCTGTTTTCATATCCAAATTCAAATACCGTCTGTGCATATAAAACAGTTCATTTATTAGTCCAAATGTTACTGTTGTAGAGCTCTTGGAAAAATATTCCCTCTTTCTTGAGTTTGTTCTTCATAAAAAGGAAGCTTTGGAGGGCCACCTAGAGAATTAAGTAGAAACACGGTTTCAGGTCTATATAACACAATACTGAAATATTATATAGATCATACAATTCACACTTAAATAATTCAGTAAATGGTACTCCTCAAAAGAAGGCAGAGACTTCTAGACTGACGTCCTCACAGAGGCAGAGGGCAGGCAACACAATAAAACACCTCTCAAATGGAAGGTTCCCAAAGTGTTTCCTAAACTAAATGCAGAATTGTATATCACCATCAAGCCAGTTGTGATTAGCCTGCAAGTGGGAGGAAATTTTCACTCAGTACGCTATCTCATGAAGAAGAGAAATTATCTAAATTTAAAAAAACCAAACAGGAAAACCCCAAACCCTTTTTTGATAGTGCAATGAGGGCTCTAGTACACTCACAAATCAATCCAAATCTATTTTCCAATGTTTTATCTACTTATCTGGCCTATCGCACCTCACCATGCTCTTCAAAAGCTGATACCTCTACAAAAAAAGTAAGTGAGTGTGATGGGATGCACAGCAAGTAAACCTCCTTATTCATCTTATTCATCAGAGGTTGTGGATACCAACTATTTCAGGGCAAGATTTCATACTGGCAAACAGAGAAGAACATACAGCTCTCTGGCATAGTTGTGCTGAAGGCAGCCTTGGGAATCCATGAGCAGGCTGTGCAAGATCTCCACAGCCTGCTCTGAGGGGAAACCCCTGCACTGAGTCAGTTCAGCTTGGCCAAGACCTCCCAACCACCTGGAACGACTCCTGGCATTCACAGCATCAGGCGCCTGGCCCCTTAGGAGGACAGCACACCCCAACACAACCCTTCCAAACAAAGCTGGGGCCATCACAGGCTCTGAGTTTTTCACCAGAGATGGAAATGCAGAATGGCTTCTGCCTCACACAGCCCGACACAACCTGTGGTGGCTGCTGCTGAGCACTACTTTTGCGTGGTGGGTGGATGCTCCTGTCCAAATGGTCTACTGACTGACCACCACCAATCACAGATTCATAGAATAGTTAGAATTGGAAGGGACCTTAAAGATCATCAAGCTCCAACCCCCCTGCCATGGGCAGGGACACCTCCCACTAGACCAGGTTGCTCAAAGCCCCATCCAGCCTGGTCTTGATGTGTGACTTCTTCTACTAAGAAAGTTTGCACACCTCCAGCTTGTGTTACCTTCTTTGCAGGTTGGCCCCATCCACGTGGCCGGGCAGACGCAGTTCCCGTTGTATGGATTGCACTGGGATTTGCTGGCACACTGGCATCGTAAGGAGCAGTTGGGGCCATACTGGTCTGACCTGCATTCTGGAAGGAGAAAAGTGTTTGGAAGAGGGTGAATGCTCCCTCGGAGTCTCCCTGTTCTCTGGGATCAGGAAGCTACTTAGACACCTACATCTGTTAACATTAAAACATGACATTTTGGAAAGCCTTGCAGTTTTCAAGTTTCATCTCCTTAAACGGTCTGCCCAACTGTAGCCCAGCTGTCCTAAAGAGGTTCCCAGAATGGAAATCATTACTGGTGTAAAAAAAAACAGGGGTTGACAGGCCAACAGAAAAGAGCTTGGGATCTGCTCAGGAAAGTTCCTGTCAGCGTCCTGGATCCACGCTATCTCCTGCCCCTCTCCACTGCACGGCTTGGCCGTCAGCGTGTGCCAGCACAGAGCCTTCACGTTGGAAATTGAAAATTAATCCATTTTATATATACTCTTATGTCTTACTCCGATTGCACACTTCTGCTGCCTCCTGGCAAATTAAACTCACCGAATGTCTCCCTCCCAAATACACATACATTTCATACCCAGGCTGATAAATTCTCTTTGCAATTTTTAAACGCGGTCAGAGCAACAGCATGAAGGAAAAGTTAGCAGCAGGTCACGAGGCAGGGTGCTAAATACGCTGTGAACAATGGCCCTCTCTCCCTCACCTCCCTAGAAAATACTGTAAATAATGGAGGCGCTGGCTTTCTCACCCAGGCACCATTAGGTAAATAAAAGTGCTGCCGAGCCCCGGCATCAGCTGCAGCCCCAACACGTGGGAGAACTCTCCCCGTGCGCTCCGAGCTTGGCCTTTTCAATTAGGGAATGTTATGAGAAAAGGTCTCCCCGAACACCTCTGGACCTGATTTTAATTTATGTAATACCACATTTTCATGTTAATAACAATGTGTATTTAAGACATCTGTTTGAAAGTCTGCAATGTTAATTTACTACAGAAAAAGAGCGCCCATAAAAGTCTGTTATATTCTCTCTCTCTCTTTTTTTTTTTTTTTTTTTAATTAACATTTTGCCTGTTTAATGGGTGCTTTACCAGAGTTCAAATTAAAATCAGACCTTTTATCTTTATGGCTGCTCCACAGTCACAGCTGCTCACAGTTATATCACAGATGAACTGAGCCTAATTGAAAATAAAAATGCAAATAAAATCTACCCCATAACAGCTTTTCAAGGACGGGGCCTACCCTAGCTGATTTAAGAAAAATAAAAATGACTCCTAGAGTTTGCAAGAAGCAAAGCCTCGGTTCACATTTTCGGTGCTGAGCTTCCCCCTTGCGTTCCACTTCTGCCTAAAATGTTGCTGGGAAGGGCCCCGCTTGCCCAGCACCGAGCTGGCTGTGTCCCCCACCCGACCAGTGCCTGCAGACTGGGTGGCTTTGGTTTCTGACCCCAGGACAGCACAGAGAGGGAAGAAAATAATTTTCCATTTTTGTTTTGCAGGTTGCACTAGCACTTAAGCTCCCAGCAATTATTTTGCATTAGTAACAGGCTGTTTAAAGCTGTTTCCTGCCCTATCCTAGAACAAAAGTAGAAATACTATTCCCCTCCCCGTGACTCAGGAGGATTATGGTTCCTGGTGTGAACCCTCAACACCAGCACATGGACTATCACTCCTTTTATCTTGTTTGCCACAATGTTAGGATCACAAATCTCTTCTTACACTTGTTTAAATGACTGCAATTCCTTTTTCTCCAGCGATTACCCTAAATTTACTCTGCTATGACTGTGATCAGAGTCTGGCTCAAGAATCCTGCCTGCCCTTGCTGCCTCTCAACCCTGCAACCATCTCATCAGGGCACAGCAGTGGGACCGATTTTCCCTACAGGAGAATTTTCTCACCTATTTTTATACCCTTGTTACAAAATAATTCTGCTGTCATGGGCCAACCATTTCCCAAACGCACCGTCCAAGTGCCTGTGCTGCAAATGAGGGAATTTTATTTGGATTAAATGTTCCTGGACTACTGCTGAACCCCAGAGGCTGGCAGAGCTGCTGCAGCTCCGCTACCCTCATCCGCAGGGATTCCCCCCCTGCTTCCTGGGGAAGCAAACCCAGAGCTGGACCTGCCTTTGCGTTGGTCTGAAAAAGGTGACAAATGTCTGTGTGACAAAATACATGGCAATAAGATCCCTTCATGCCCATTTGCACCTCCTGGAACCTTCCCAACTACATCTGAAAACTGTGGGCTTCTTGGTACATTCTTCACTAGCACAAAGTCTCCAAAGCTCAAGGCAAATGACATTTAACAGCTGACCCATAACTAGTCTTCCTATCAGTGTATCAATTTAAATATTGATTAAATCAAGAGGTACAACCTTTGATGAAGCTGTTGATAACCCATAAGAGTAATTTGCTACCAACAATGTGTTCCTGAATATCAGCAAATGTCCTTTCACAGTTACATTCAGACCAACAGGTCATGCAGGTTTAACTATACATAGTCCAGCCCGTAGAAAACATGTCCCTTACCAACATCACATTTATCTCCGGTCTTCCCAGGTGGGCAAAGGCACTTCCCAGTCTCTGGATCACATGGAGCATCTCCGCAGTCGCACTGATGCTGGCACCTCTCTCCAAACCAGCCCCTGTCACAGCCTGGTGGCAAGAGAGCTTTTTTAGATGCACGTTTGAATGGCAAAAGGTACATTAAACCGGAGGAGTTTCTCCAGGATGCCTCAGAGGAAAGCTCATAAACTCTCCACTGAAACTAGTGTAAATACCAAGTTTAATGAAGAATCGAACATAGTGGAATAGGCATAATATTTATATGAACTCTCCTTATGTTGGGCTTGTCTGATCTAACCTATCAAAGGTATCTGTAAATCTGTCCCAGAAATGTAACTGGCACTTATTTTCATTTTTAATTAGAACTCTCTAGAAGACCATTCCGTAACACTCAACAGGTCTGACATGCACCTATTTAATAATCTTATTTGGAGTTTTAGAAGCAAATTTAGAATCAGTAAAAAGGACTTATTTTTAATAAACGACATGTGCAACTCATTGCTGCAAGACATCACAGAGACCAGGACTTTCACCGTATTAATTGGAACCAGATTAGTTAATTTTTAAGGAATGAGAACGCCCAGCTATATAACAGGTAAACAATCCCAAATCTAGTGTTTCAGGATATTCAAAAAGCTCAAAATACGGAAGAAGTTGCTCTCAGCAAACAAATATTTGAGTAATGACATGAGATTTTTTGAGTTTTATTTTGGTTTTGTTTGTTCATTTGTTTTTTTTCTTTTACATTACCGGGATGTAAGTACCTTTCTCGCAGTGGACACCTTGATAACCCAAAGGACACATGCACTGTCCCGTCACCGCATCGCAGCTCCCTCCATTTTTACAGGCACACGCATGAAGACAGCTTAGTCCATAAAATCCAAGGGGACACCCTGAAAAATTAAAGCGTCAAGTGAGGAAAGTTTATGAAGAAAAACATACATCCTTTTAATATCCTACATATTCTCAGCTATGTTCCTCTGGGAGCCAACAAACGTGATATTTACTGTTAACTCTAATAAAGCCATGTGTTTTTAAACTTGCACCGCTCGGGTCTGGAAGCAGCTGGTTGATCTGGGACACCCCAAAACTGAACCAGCGAGGTGTTTACGTGACTAGTCTGGAGCCCCACATCCCGTTCCTGTTGGAAACCAGATCACCTGGATGCCCATGGTGCTTCCACTTACTGTGCTCGCAGGAGTGGCCGTAGTAGCCCTCGGGGCACCGGCAGCAGCCCGTGAACCTGTCGCAGGTGCCGTTGTGCTGGCACGAACAGTCCAAGCCACAGCCAGACCCGTACTTCCCTGGGAGACATTCTGCTGGCAGGACACGGACAGAGAAACAGACAAACCAAAAAAAAAAATATCACTGCCCTTATCCAGAAAAGCTCTTAGGTGACAGCTTGTATAGCCAAGCTATGATGCCCGTACAATAACTTGCAGAGCCAAGGAGAATATTTGTTATGAAGACACAGCATTTCCGCACAGCTATGATGCATTTACATACTTTCATGAGAAATCTTTTATAATATATACATGTTCAAACAGCAGTTTCCTTGTACTTCTTATAGCTTATCTTTTAAAATTTTTCTCTTCATATAGTCAATGTTAAACTTGTGCCATGTGTTATAAAGCCACACAGTAAATGGTATAAATTATATCTTCTTTTTTTTCTTTCTGTATCTACAACAATATTTTCTTTTAGACACTTAGAAAGTGTGAAAGCAAACACATGGCTTTTCCTCTTCTGTGTTATCATTGGAGTTCACACTATTCCAATTCCTAATAAAACCCAGAGGATCTCTTTTTCACACATAGCAACAGGCTTCCCATGCATAATGAGATATCTGCTTTTACAGAACTAAACACATCTCAAATTACTGAAAGCCAAGTCATGCAAAAGTGACTATGCCAATATAATTAACCTGGGCATCCTTTCTGCATAAGTTAACTCCCCACTGCTGTGCTAATTTGAATCTGGGCAGACCAACTTAAATGAGAGTGGCCGTCCAAATAATCAGATTCATAAGTCTGCAAACGTCAGATGAGATCTTTTACGAACATCATATCTAATCACTAGAAAAAGGATGCCTGATTAGCTGCCTCTGATTTCTAGTCAAAACACATTGAAACCCACACTGCTGTGGAAATCAAGACTCAAATTTCCAATAACTTGGCTGTCTCTGTCAAAAGACAAACAGAGAAGGTCTTTCTTGTGATCTAACACACAGTCCTTATGTGATGTGTGCAGGTCTGCCCCCCACACTTGACACCAGAGGTGTTTTATCTAAGCACATCTATAATATACACCGCTAGTCCACGTGGTGATACCTCCATGACCCTACTGGGGCTTTGCAACCCCATTGCAGCCCATGGATGGTCACAGAGACTTCAAGGACAGACAAATAGAAATATTTGAAATATATAGAATATATAGTTGAATACATAGAAAAATGGAACACAGGTGGCCTATGCAATATGAAGTTAACCATCTATTGGTAAAATGCATGGGTTTTTTGGGGGTATTTTAGTGCCTGTCCACAGTGGTCACATTGTGTGGGGCTCCATGCAGTTAGGATTTTTCCTTTTCCACACTCACACATATATATGAAGCGGGTCTCTGAGTCTTCTCGGGTGCAAAGTGAAACAATTACAGTGAATTCTGCTTAAAAAAGTATCACTTTTACATAATGTTTTTACATAGGGACACTCCCCTATAAATACCAGTACTTGGTAAAGATATGTATGGAGTTTGAGGTGGATATTCTACAGATGCCAGGGATAGAAAGGCTGTAAATGAGGGCCTGAGAATGTACTGGGGAGGTTGTACTGTGGCAATTATGATGTAACGATGACATTTTCTCCAACGTGAAGTCAGAACTAACTATTTATTTGACATCATACCAGTAAACTCATGGTTTCCTGAACATTTATGTTTGTAACTCTACGGCTCTCTCTTAACTGGAGAGAGAAATAGGAACACAGAAATGCAGAATGACTTTTGGGAGATGGACAGAAAGACATGGAAAAGCTCTACTCTGGGCTGGCAGGAGGGTTTCTGGAGTGAAAACTGAGCTTATTCTGTCTAAGTGTGCTTTGTCTTGTGTCTGGGGGAGTTGTCATGGAGAAATAAGGGTGAGATAGCAAGACAGACTCAATTGCTTTGGACAGTTGTCAGAACTGTACAAACAGGGAAGTCAACACATGGGAAGTTCAACTACAGTCCAATGTCACAGGGAAGAGAATAACAAGAGAGAACATAACAAGAGAGGAGGGAGATGCTGGCTTCTGCTGACTTCAGAAAAGCATATGAAAGAAGACAAAAAACAATGTTCTCGTGAATAAAAGAACACAAAAGTTGGACAGGAGAAGGAATCAGAGTCTGTGGAATGAGAGTTAGAGCAGGACTCATGAGAAACTGCCTTTGAAGAAAGACCTAAAGCTCTAACTAGGGAAAGTTCTGCATGAGAGAAGCTACAGAGACAAATGTAGCTGGGAGGGAGTCTACTTAAGCAAAAACTGTCCCCTTTTGTGGGTCTGTAGACACTGCAAACCCCTGCTTGAACGTACACATCCGCTATCATCAAAGCAGAAAATTACCTTTCTCACACGATCTTCCTGTCCAGCCGAGCCCACAAGTGCAGTTGCCATCCACGTGGTCACAGATACCACCGTTCTGACAGGTACATGTCAGCTGGCAGTTGGGGCCGTATTGTCCCTGGGGACACACTACAGAGAATTAACAAAGTTTGAAAAAAAAATATAAATTAACATCCCCAAAAAGAATGACGGTGACAGGGAATAAATACAAACACATGCTCCCCTCAGAGTATCCCAAATGCCTGGTGTCTCCTGGGGGCTGTGGGACACTCTACTACACGCTTATTAGCAATTTCATCATTTCAGAGACTGTGGTCCAAGCAGTTTTATCCAAACACTCTCTGTCCCACCATATCTCCTTGCTTGGTTTCACTCCACATTTTCTTGTCCTGCTCTCATCCCTTTGCCCTATCTCATAATTCCTCCTCTTCAGCAAATCCTTTCCCTTCACTTTTTCAATTCAAGTAATTTGCTTCTAAATTTGGTCCCATGCACCCACAGTGCCCTCCCTCATCTTTCCATTCCTCTGAAATCAGCCACTTCAGCTTTGAGGAGAACCCAGCGCAATAGTCCCAAGTGTGGTGGAGCCAAGCAGCGAGACGTGGGCAGGAGACAGGGGTAGGACAAAGGCAGGGTGATGGAGCGGAGAGGACAGAGGCCGAGCACACAGCAAACTGCAACGTTATCAAGCAAAGGCGTTGGGAAACACGGCTACAAACAATGTTTGGCTCTGAGTTTTATTTGCTGGTTGTTACACGCGTGTGCCCAACTGACGAGATGACCTCGGGTCCCGCTTTGTTACCTTGCTGACAGCTGGGTCCCATTTGGCCGGGAGGACAGGAACACTTGCCAGTCCGTGGGTCACACTGACCTTTACCACATGCACAGAACAGGGTGCAGTCCTTCCCGTATCGGTTTTCAGGGCAAGCTGAAGGAAACATGGCCCTTTGTTAAACACTCTGGGTGTCCAACACCAAGTTTTCATTTTTAACATAGTCAGGATCTTCTAGGTAGAGCTGGCTTTGGGTTTATTTCAGCTAATGTGCCTCAAAGCAACAACTATGTAACCAAACCCCATCCAAAGACACGTCTGCTTCTTCCTCTGAAACTTTGCTTGAGGTTACAAACATAAGCCATGGTTTCAGGTGGAACATTTAGTTGGTGTCCTACCAAAAAGGTGAGTGGACAACCGAAACATCAGCTGCTCATCCTTCCTGCTAAACACACATCTTCTCATCCTTAATACTGACACTCTCCTGTGCTGAAGAGCAAAGCTATAGGCTACTAACCATTAAAGCATTGCCTTCCTGAGAATAAGCTGACGAGAACTTCACAGAGACGTTAGCTTTGGAAATAGCACAGAAATTCAGCCCCACAATTTAGTTCTGAAATAGAGAAGTAAGAGTAGGGTTGCCATGGAGTCTTTACCAGTTTTGCCATGACAAAAGTTGATCTTTTTCCCATTTATTTAAACTAATGGCACCGTAGTGTGAAGCAAAATATTGAGATAATTTCTCAACCTAGAAATTTTGGACAGGAAGAAGGAACTTGAGCAATTCATGCTGAGCTGGCTCTAGAAATAAATTTGGGCAAGCGGGTTGTAATCCTGGGACGAGTGTCCTTGCTTCTATGCACGCAGAAGAGAGGGAAAATATTTTGCGAGAGATTTTTTACAAAGCTGGAATCCTGATTTACAATTCAAGGAGGGGGTAGCTGGAATCTGTCTGTTTTTCTGCCGACAAGATTTTTATGCAGATTATTCTCTCTGCTGTTTTTTCAAAAGAAGCAGAACATGAATGTTGGCTTACTTTTGCTACAGTCGGCTCCAATGAAACCAGGCGTGCAATCACAAGTTCCCGACACGGGGTCGCAATGGCCTCCATTCATGCATTTACAGGGGTTTTGGCAGTTTGGACCGTAAGTACCCTTTGGACACCCTGTTTTAAAAGAACAAAATAGCAATTAGGCTATGTTGCTACTGGGCCCACTGCGTTTCATGTCATAACCACTTTGTTGCTTTCAACCAAAATGAGATTTTTCATTTTGTTAACTCTATTCACTTCTGGAGGGCCAGGAGTGGGCATGGACAAGCAGATGGTTGCCTTGGGCAATCCACTGCTTGGGGGCAGCAAGGCAGCACTGACTTGTAGTGTCAAACCTCTGGAGAGCTGGACCAACTGCTGCTGCAAAGCCTGGTCTGACTGCCCCTGCCTCTGCCCGCTCCTCATACATGACTGTAGCAAGAAAAGCAAGCCCAGTTCTTCAGAGCTTTTCCTCTTGCATTTCTACTCCAAACAACAGGTTTCCAAACAAACCTGTTCCTCCTTTCCTTCCTATGGAGGAGATAGAGAGATGGGTCCCTAGGTCTCTCTTCCTTTGGGCAGCAACAACCTGGTTTGCCTGTGATGGTGAGAAGCCATGAGCCATCTCTGCCCCTTTTAGCGGTCATTTTAGCTGACCAGTTATAGATACTGGGGCAAGTCTCATCTGTTTTAAAAGAACAAAATAGCAATTAGGCTATGTTGCTACTGGGCCCACTGCGTTTCATGTCATAACCACTTTGTTGCTTTCAACCAAAATGAGATTTTTCATTTTGTTAACTCTATTCACTTCTGGAGGGCCAGGAGTGGGCATGGACAAGCAGATGGTTGCCTTGGGCAATGCACTGCTTGGGGGCAGCAAGGCAGCACTGACTTGTAGTGTCAAACCTCTGGAGAGCTGGACCAACTGCTGCTGCAAAGCCTGGTCTGACTGCCCCTGCCTCTGCCCGCTCCTCATACATGACTGTAGCAAGAAAAGCAAGCCCAGTTCTTCAGAGCTTTTCCTCTTGCATTTCTACTCCAAACAACAGGTTTCCAAACAAACCTGTTCCTCCTTTCCTTCCTATGGAGGAGATAGAGAGATGGGTCCCTAGGTCTCTCTTCCTTTGGGCAGCAACAACCTGGTTTGCCTGTGATGGTGAGAAGCCATGAGCCATCTCTGCCCCTTTTAGCAGTCGTTTTAGCTGACCAGTTATAGATACTGGGCCAGGTCTCATCTTTTTTAAAAAAAAAAAGTTTAAGTTGGAGAAAGTTTCCTTCCTCTATGATCTACTCTCACTCCAACCTGGAGTTGGCATTGCTCTGGCACATCTAGTGGGCTGTGAATGGAAGACTATGAAAATGTGCACATGATAATAACATGGAATTTCAGAAGACACCTTCTCAGAAGACAGATATGAGAGAGAAACGCTTTAAATGCAAAGCCAGGAAAAAAAAAAAAAAGCAACTGTATTTTGCAATAACCAGAAGGAATGTTAGACCTGGATGGGTTGCTGAGCCAGTGTTACATGGCAATGAGCTGTCCATGAAGAGGTTTTCCAGGTGGTAGTGAGTATTTCTGGATTCTTTTGGGGCAACTAATGTGAAGGAGTGCTGAATACAAGATCAGGAAGACATGAGTGCATCTACCATGCTTAGCTTATGTCTTCAAGATGCTCTTTAGAGTGAAGGAGGCTGGAACTGAGGAGAAGAGCTCAGCAGAGCTGCTGGGCACGTGTCTCCATCTGTCAGGGTTGCCTCCAGCATGCCACCACTGAACTCTGGAGATGCAGGTTATTCTCCCAGTTTTCCAGTGTACGGGAAGGGGAGAAGCTGCTGCTTTTAGAGCAACAAAATCATCATTCAACAGTTACACTAATGCTACTACCTCTACATGTCCTTTTTATGCTCCTTCCTTCCTTCCTTCTCTTCCCCTGGCAAAAGGAAAGTCTACGGCTACTTTGGAAATCTGGTTGAATACATATTTGCACGTCTCCAAGCAACAGATCTCTTGCAATCTGTGCATAAATAAGTTTATACATTTTCTCTCTTTTCTGACAGTACGAAAGCACGGTCTGAGTGGCTGGAGAAATCTCTGGATTTTTTGAACTATTCAATAGAGAGGGAGAGCTTACGGTGAAGCTTTAAAGGGATGCCTTTAAAAATAAAACTGAAAATTGGCTTCTGCTCAAATCAGGATAGCAGATCATCAGGACTAAACAGATATACACTTTTATAACATGCAGATACTCTCCCCAGCCCTTCTCAACCATGGCTTCTTCTCAATGAATACTTCCTCATCAGTGCTTCCATCTGTCAGGACAGAAAATGTGTTTCATGTGCAAACCCTGGCATCAAGGGGAGAGCCCTGCAATATCTATTTCATTTCCACCAAGACATGACGTTAAGGACACACCCAGATTCAATGACTTAATTGGACTCTAAGAGACTTTCTCTTTTCCTCCTCCTTTTCCTTTTGGTCATCATTTGGCTTGTCTCTTTTTTTTAATTCTGTTTCCCACACTCCCAAACGTGTTGCTTCTCCCTGGCAAAGCTTTCAGAGTCGTTCCTCGGCTCAAGACTAGCAAGGGCTGCTCCATTACTGAAAGGGATGCAGTAATTCCCCCTCTTCCCAATTTATTTACCCTTGCAGCATTTTATTTATTTCGGTTCAAGAGGGAGCAGCACAAGCAGGGCAAACACACCAGCTGCAACGTTCTTGTGATTATTAACAAGGCCATCTCATCTGTTACTACTTTGCAGAAGAACTTCTATGTGGATAAGTAGGGCAATTTACACAGTGTCCTGCCATTTAAGTAGGTTCTGCTTTTATGAAGAGGGTTAGATTCTAACCACCAGTTATCTCATAAAGGCATTTTCTAATTTAACAGCTTCCTGTGCATCTGACTTATGTTTTTCTGAGAACGGCAGGAGCAGCAGCCAGATTTCTAACTCATTTCCTGATTTTTTCCCTCTGGTTTGGGTGGCTTTGCCATGACCAAGAGCTCCTAAATCTTTTCATACCAACTGCATACACTAGGGTTTTTCTTACTAATATTATTAATTGCATTGTCAAAAAAAACCCCACTTTTGAAGCATCCTGTTACCTACAGCTTGAAGGGGAAGCTGGTGAGGTCTTTCTGGCTCAGGGTTCACCCAGCTCAGTAAATGTCACAGAGACGTAGCACAGGGTTTTTTATCCATTACACCATCACTTACTGCTTTTTATTCATAACTTCACTCAAGTAGATCTGCCTGTCCACCAAATTATGGACAACTGATGGGAACCTTATTGCTAGTTTGTCTGCTTCCTCTGGATCCTGCCAAGAGACTGTTTCAGCTCTTCACTCCAAAATTTGAGAACATGAAAGCCTCGTTGCTCTTGGCTCCTGGAAATTTGACTTCCCAGCCAACTACACCTTTTATAGATACTTTCTTGAACCTTTTTTCACAGTACTATAAATACAGCAATAGTTGCCAGAAACCATTTCCAGCAGCATCCAACCACATGTTGACTGGACCGAAGCCCATTTCACGTCTTTGGGAGCGGCTCCCTATGCTGTTTTTAATATTATATCGAAAGCTTCTTCATCCTGGAGCAGCCCCAGTTCTCTCTGTAGTGAGGACGGTGGGAACAAGGACTATTTCCACCAAAGCCACTCTAGCTATCCCCAGTTATCAGACATTATCAGACAATGGTTATCCACCATTCCGGTAAACATTTAACAAAACTATATTTATTGAGAATTTGCGGGGAAAGCCACTGTGTATTTGGAATCTAGGAGAACACAACACCATGAAGGTTCATGCCTCATAATCTATAGGTTTAATCCCAGCTAAACAGGAGCCCATGGCAAAATCCCCTCTGAGTGCAACGAAACACAGATTTCATTTTGCAATTTCTTTTATGTCAGAACTTCAGCGCAATTATTAATGCTTTAAATTTTAAATGCTGAAGTAAAATCTTAAGGATCTAAGCAAGCTCAAGGACATTTACTATAATCGATAGAGATTTAGTACTATATGCACAGGTAGTGACTCCTGAAAGATTGCTACATAAAAGTAATAGGCTAACCATGATTAAGTCTTTTAAAATGATACCGTTAAATAGTTGATCTCCACTATTGCTCCACTATAATATTTATTATAATGTAATGTATAATGGATTCAGATGGCTCTAGCCTAGATTTTGAAGGCTGCATTTCGATCCCACTTACAGTGAGAACTGACGTACAAAGGAGGATAGAATCAATCCTTACATTTATATTTATATTTTAAAGAATAACTTGTGATGACATGATGGCAATACAAATGTCCATCTCCAAAATGAGCCTCATTTGTATTTCTACTCAAGGAATAAAGCACGGGTTTAACCCTTACTAGAGCTGCACACATTGCAGCTGGCATTTGTATCCAAATTGTCACCCAAAAAAGCAAGCAAACCAGAGCTGTGCTTGACTCCTAGGAAAGGAAAATCAGCGTTCGCCAAAATACAAAGTCTTTTTTTTTTTTTTTAAATGAAACTATTACAAGACACGGAGTAAAAACAAAATTAAAGTTGTAAATAAAAAGGTAATTAACTATCTCCTTTTTTGGATATGTTGGTATATGTTTCTTATCAGTTGCCACATTCCACCAGGAACAACTTTACAGATGTCCTAAAATACCGGCATGAGGCATGGGGGTCTGGGAATATTTTTTATGATGGAGTGTTCAGCCAATTGGCATTTTGTCCTCTGCACTAGTCACTATTTTTCAATCCAGAGTAACAATTTGTTTAATTTGATTGTTCCTTAGAAGGCCCTACAACTTAAGTGACTTTATGAATCACTTGGATTTATTGCCAATTGCGGCTCGTTGTTTTCTAATAACCATTTGTTCTTCCTTGAGCACGCTGAGATTTCGGGAAGCATTTTGGCCTAGGTATTTGGAAATGAAAGAGCCACATGATATCCAGGTGCAGCTGAAGACGAGGGGTGTAAACGCAGAGAATGACAATGATATTCTTCAGCGTGGCATGAAGTTGGAAGGAATTTAGCTAGTAAATGAGGGGGCTTTTTAATTTAAACAAATCATATATATATTTTTTTAAATTAAATCCTGGCAATAATGCAAGTATTTTTATTATTGTAAGTTAACCCAATCAACGCTTAACTTTATCTCAGTCGACACTGAAAGTACTGACACAGGTGAACCTAAAGGGCCAGCAAATGCTTCTGCGTGACTCGGTCCTCGCTCAGAAAGTAATAGCCCACACAGATACTCACGGAGGGTGCAGCGGGCCCCGTGGTAGCCCGGGTGGCACACACAGTCGCCGGTCACCGGGTGACATTCCTCATTCTCGGCAGAGCACTGACACACTCGGTTACAGTTCTTACCATACGTGCCCGGTGGACAAGCTTGGGGAAGAGGAAATGTAAACCAATAAATTAAATTTGTCTTGGTAAATATAACACTCAAACAAAGAGTGAGCTCAAATTTATTAAATAAAATCCCTGACTACAGAATGACGCTCTCCTCTGGGACTTGGGATTTATTACATTTACTTGGGGGTTACTTCACCGCTTCATTTTGTTTCGTTCAGTCAATTTGTGCCCAACTGTCAAGGGCCAGATACAATTTTCTTGTCACTAGAAAAAATCATAGGGAAATGTCAGGTAAAATTGACTAAAATAACAGTATAATTCTCAAGGGACCAGGCTTGTGGATAAAGACATTCTACCTTTTGCTGGGAGTATAAACTTGCAAAGCTGCTGTAGAACCAACACCTTCAGAGGTTTCATTTTGCCCGTTGACAGCCACGTTGCCTACAGGTTTTGGACTTTCCACGTCCAATTCTTACATCTCACTTATATTAAGTTGCCCTGGTTGTGGGTCAGGATTTAGAATCCTTTAGTGCAGGATATGGGACACCAATCTCAATTCTTTTAATTCTTTTTTTGTTGTTTTTCTTTTTCTAAAGCAGCGCTCAGGCAAAACCTTGTAAGGAAGAACTAAGTCAAAATTATGCAGCCGGGGTCACAGAACGAGCCTGCTTTCAAAGACGGCTCCAGACGGCCAAACTCCAAAGAAAAAACAGATAATGACATTTCCACAAGCTCCGACAGTGGGAATAGACGGTCTCTCATGGGGACAAGGTCAACAGAAAGCAGATTTTCTGCTTTACCCAGGGCACAGTGATGGCTGTGGGCAGGAGCCAGGCTCCGCTGGCACCTCCTTGGTCTGTTTTGATTCAGTTCAGTCCTCGGCTGCTCCTCTGCCAACCTGAGAGCTACAAACCTGGGTAGGATGAACCCCACCAGCCCAAACCACATCAGGCACAGAGGCCAGAACCAGCCAAACCATTTGGGTGAGGGACACACAGAGCTTGTCCATCTTCACTGCTGTGTGGTTGCTGCCTCCTCCCTCTTCAGGCATTATATCATCAGGTTTTGCATATAATAGAGTTGGAAGGGACCTTAAAGATCATCCAGTTCCAACCCCCCTGCCCTGGGCAGGGACACCTCCCACCAGACCAGGTTGCTCAAAGCCCCATCCAGCCTGGCCTTGAACCCCTCCAGGAATGGGGCAGCCACAGCTTCTCTGGGCAACCTGGGCCAGTGTCTCAGCACCCTGAAGAATTTCTTCCTGATATCTAATCTAAATCTCCTCTTTTTCAGTTTAAAACCATTACCTCTCATCCTATCGCTACACTCCCTGATGAAGAGTCCCTCCCCATCTTTCCTGTAGCCCATTTGGGGACTGGAAGGGGCTACAAGGTCTCCTCAGAGAATGTTTTATTTAAGAAATGGATTTCTTAATTATTTTACCAAGGAAGTATTTGCATTCTTATAGCAAACTCACTTTTCTCGCAGCCGTAGCCGGTGAATCCCGGAGGACAGCCGCACTTGCCCGTCAGGTGGTGGCAGGGGGTACCCGCAGGACACCGGCACCGCTGGGCACAGCCCACACCGTAGCGTCCAGGCAAGCAAGCTGCAATGGTGGAACCAATCTTCATTAGGGGACGGGGCAGGGGACAGGCAGTATGGTACAAAGTTACCCCCCCTCTGACAGATCTGTTGCACCCATCCCCGTGAGCACCTCCTCCAGACCAACCCCACAGCAAGCCACATGGGAGTCAAAGGATCATCATCATTGGCTTTGGATCCGGCAGGAATGTTCCCACCAACTTGAACATTCCTCCAGCAGCCACTCACGTTTGTCACAGTGCCTCCCTCGCCACCCCTTTGCACAGTGACACGCTCCTGTTTGATGGTGGCAGGACAAGCCGTGCACGCAGTCACACCGCTCCTCGCACTGCTTGCCAAAAGATCCCGGGGGACAGGCTGCCAAGGGAAGCAGAGAGAGCAACAGTTCTTCCCGCATCCATCATTGGCAAATGAGCCAGCACCATTCTTGCACACAGCAATGGATATTTAGAAGACTGCATGCCCAGAAAATATCATTGAAAGTGAAAAAAAATATTAAAAGCATTTAGTGTTGGCTATTAAAATGAGTCCACAAATGAAAGCTTGCAAAGATGTAGTCACTATCTAGAGCACTAACCCAGATGACGCCTACAGAGATGGAGATGCCATTCACTTTTACACCATTATGCACAAAGGGACAGCTGTTTGACAGTGACAATATGCTGTGTCCACATCCTGCTTTCCACCTCGCAGGTCTCTGCAAAGTGATCAGAGAGAAAGCTACGCCTGAAGAAAAGGATGGTGGGCACTGCAAAGGCTTTACAGGTGGCACTGGTGGTCAGGGCTTGGAGAGTGCTCAGCACCTCAGGAGACACCAGAAAATTGCTTGTAGCTCAACAAAAGTCACAGCATGTCAGTGGGCAAGCTGAAGGCAAATTTCAAGTCATCTAATACTGCTTATGAGATGTCTTTTTCGGGGACTTACATGCCAGACAGCTGTGCCAAATCTGAGCAATCTGGACCACATGCAAGGTAGGTGCAACCTGAACCATTACAGGCCAATTTGCTGAGCCACAGAGAAGCAGCAGCACGTGGCCAATGGGAAACTCTCCTTACAGCTCACTCCCTTCTGTGTGTTCTTCCTCGTACCCATAAGGTAGAGAAATACCTTCATTTTGTTAGCAGGCAGGGAAGAGGAGGAGATAAAAACATTTGTACTAGGGCATGTATTTGTGGTTGTGCAGAGACCTGCTCCCCAGGCACAGGGTGAGCACTCACACTGGTGTTACTTCTAATTGGCCTACAGAATACTGGAAAATTAAGATACAAAATAGAGATGGGCTTACTGGGGAGGAAGAAACGGCTGTTTGTAGAAGAGAGTGTTAAAATGAAGTGTTCACAGAAAGAACTGCCCTTACCAACATCGCAGCGGTCTCCAGTCCAGCCGGCGTGGCAGATGCACCTCCCTGAGTGCTGGTCACAAACCCCACGGTGGCAGCTGCAGTTCTGCCCACAGCCCTCTCCGTGCTTCCCGTCCCCACACTCTGAAACGAGACGGGGGAGACTGACAGGGTCCAGGCTGGAAGGGCTCTAGGGAGAACACACTTACACCTCTGAAATAGGGTGAGATACCTGAGCTGGTCCTGAAAACCTTCACTGAGGGAGATTTTGAAGCCTCACTTGGCAAAATTCTCTAGAAATACATAGTTTTCCTCACTTGGCAAAATTCTCTAGAAATACATAATTTTCCTCCTTGAGGATTTCTTTTATTATTTTTTTTTGTCCTCAAAGTGAGTTCATTATTATCTTCCCTGTCTCCAAGGGACAGAGAATAGCTTATTCCTCCCTTTTGTCCAGTAAGTTTCTAAGCACCATGGTATGTTCAAGTCCAGTGCCGTATCTCCCCTCAGTCTTCTTGTCTCTGACCAAATAACCCCAATTTTTTCAACCTCTCCACACCCAGTGCTCTCCAGCCCTCTGCCCCTCCTCTCTCTTTTTTTTTCTTCACCAGAACTGAATTTCCTCACTGAGCACCTGGTGCTGGAGGGATGGAGGATGTGATGAGACTCACCCAGCTCACAGGCTATCCCCATCCAACCCTGGGGACACCGGCACTCGCCCGTCACACGGTCACACGTCGCCTGGCCGTGGCAGACGCAGCGCTGGAGACAGTTTGCACCATACCATCCAGGAGGACAGGCTGCAAAGAGGAGGCAGGACAAAAGCCTTCCATGAGGGAGTTGGGACTGTTTAGTATGAGGAAGAGGAGGCTTAGGGGAGACCTCATCACTCTCTACAACTACGTGAAAGGACACTGTAGAGAGATTGGTGCTGGTCTCTTCTCACAGGTAATTAGTGACAGAATGAGAGGGACCGGCTTCAAGCTCCAACAGGGTAGGTTTAGACTGAACATTAGGAAAGAATTCTTCACAGAGAGAGTGGTCGGGCATTGGAACAGGCTGCCCAGGGAGGTGGTGGAGTCACCATCCCTGGCTGTGTTTAAGGGCTGTTTAGATGCAGTGCTAAGGGACATGGTGTAGGGGATGACTTTGTAGAGTAGGGTAGATGGTTGGACTAGATGATCCCAAGGGTCTCTTCCAACCTAGACGATTCTATGATTCTATGAGGAAGAGCAGGAGGAGGACACAGGTTAAGCACAACCCTTCCCAGCTCACACCCCCTCTCACCCTGGTGAGCGGGGAGATGCTGTGGGAGGTACAACCGAGTGAAAACAGGGCCATGACTGAGAAGGAATTACACAAACCAGTGTAAAACTGGTCTGGGAACAAAGTAGGTGATATAGTGAATTAGCTATGATTCACCAAATGGCCTTGAGATTTTCTGTTTGCACATATGAAAAACATCTCTTGGTTCCTACCAGCTTTTTCAACACCAAGGAGTGGAGTTACCGATTTCTCTGTTTTCAGAATTTCTTTGTACACTCCTGTAAAAATCACAACTAATTGATTTTGCTACCTCCAGGTGGCTGATGACATTTTACAGTTCACCTAATTTTGATTAAGCAAGTTTATTAATGCCATCACAACCACATCCTATGGATAAAAACTAATTTTTTTGACACAAAAAATACACAACTCCATCATGTTGCCAGAATGGCACCTTTTTAAGATGCTAACAGGGGCAAGTTCTCTGCAAAAAGAGTTAACCAGAGGATGTCTCACACACCTATCCTACCTCCCTGCTTCCAGAGAGAAAAGAAATCCCCAAATGTATATTAGAGAAAGAGGGAATATTAGACAATGTCTTCATATTTCACAACAGCTTTTTTAACTTTTTAAACTTTGGTTTTGTATTCAAGGCCTTCACGTAAACCAGGAAAATTTAGGTCGTGTCGTACATATCATCAAGACCGGTTTGGTGCCTTCCCAAATTTTTATTCCTTCATGGAAAGAGCTCTTCATATTAGGTTTTAAAGGGGGATACGCTTAATTAATTAATATATATTCCTCTACTCCTGCCAGCTTTCATCCACTTTCCCTAACCATCCCCTTGGCTTGCTGAAGAGCAGCCGCTGCTTGGGTGAAGGTGCTGACTCCAAACCCCAGCTCACCCAGGAGCATCCTCAGCAGCATCTCCAGCTCTGTGGCACCACTTACAGAGCCAGGGACCTTGCTGGGAGGCAAAAAAAAAAAGACCCTTCCACAACAGGGCTTGGGTACAGAGAATTAGGAGGTGAAACTTAAGCCTCAGCACAGCCTTTCTTTGCCAGCCTCTTTTCTTAAGACTCTTTGGAGTTGGGCTTGTGTTTGAGTCACACATATCGGTCTAGTTGCCAAGGTTGGAAGTCCCAATGCCTTTCACATGTTCTGGATTTAGCCTATGTCTGGAACATCGTACGGTAATGACGAGGATCAGTCGGGCACATGGGACGGTACAGCAGGCCATAGAAAAGAAACAGTTTTGCTTCAGTATCATAAATGGGAGTTTTATGGACCTTTTCTCCTTTAACAGACAGCCTTCGAAAAACAGTTCTTTTTCCAGTTTATGACTCTGTTTTCAGCCCCCTGCACACCAAGCTCCTACACCCGGCCCCTGCAACACAGCATCACAGATTTATTTAATGGACCAAGCCATTTAATTGTACAGCTAGAAAACCAATGACAACACAGGCCAACGAGCTGACAATTAAAATACCAACAAAGGCCCCCAAGGAGAAGTTTTATTTTCCCCTTCTACAATCCCCTGGCAGGGTTTGAATTTCCTACTGTACCTTCTTGACAGGTGGTTCCTTTCCACCCTGGGCTACAAAGGCACGTCCCGGTTACATGATGACAGAGGGCTCCGTTGTGACAGTGACAAGTGTGGTTGCAGCCCGGCCCATAGCTGTTCCCCTGGCAGGCTGCAACGAGAAAAGTCCACAAAACCCCATCAGGATGCATCAAAGGAGACATTGTACAGAGCAAACCTGAGACACCACCCAACTCTGGAGAGATTGGTTTGAAACTGGCTTCCAGTGACACACTTTTTCACATCGTAAGGGCACCTAAGTCCATATATTAGCCATGCCTGACACTAAAAAACGTGGCTTAAAAATATGTATCGTAGCACCTTCTGAAGAGGTTTTTATCGAAGGGCAGGATCACTCAGGTGATGGATCAGCTGTCATCCCCTGCCCTCCGGAATGTCTTTGTGCTAAACTAATGGTCCAGCAGAACCAGCAGCTTGACAGCCTGGGTATTTATTTGCATCCTGCTAAGAGAACTGACAACTTCATTGTTTTCAGCGTTCATTTTTCACAGCTGGATGCCTTCGCTCACCCGGAGCCTCATTCTTCGGTCAGAGAGGGGTGATATTTCCAATGCATTCGGTTAAGCAGCTGGCTCCCAGGTGAAAACTTAACACAGCCATCTCACAAACCTGCTCCGTTTTCAGTGCTGCCGCCTATGAAATATGGCAGTGATAAAATTCCTCTAGTCTCCATCGCACTGGAGATTTGGATAGCTTTAAATGGTGGAAAACAGACATTGCTGCTACCCTGGCTCTTTCAGGTATCGCTCACAGAATACAAAATGAGTTGATGAAGTTGGAGAAGCTCCTTGCGTGGCTCCTGTGCCTGCCTTGCAGAGCCTTCCTCACTTGTATGAAGCTGGCAGAGCCTCTCATCCCTGCTGTGCTGCTGGCACACACTGGAGAGGCAGAAAAGGCTCTGATCCCTGATCCAGAAAAGTGTCCTCCACTCACGGAATATGACATCTCCCAGAATCAGACCCAAAAGATGACTTTTCACCAAAATCTCTATGCCTTTGAAGGTGCCAGTGTGCAGAACAACATACAGCGCTGTGGGAAGACATGTCCCTAGGGACTGAAGGAGTAAAACCACCTAAACCTCAGGGGTGAACTTGGTTGACAGTATCTGACCCATTCTCAGCGTTTTTTCTTCCCATCTGAGGACTTCCAGGTTCCCAACGTGGTTCTCACAGACACCATTTCTCCACGGACTTCTTTTCAACCGTGTTCATTTTTGTCATCGCTTGGACGTCATCCACATTGAAACCACAAGAAAGCGCAGGAGCTCAGTCCCATCACAGTTAAAAGTTTGTTCTGCAAATGAGGCTTGGTTGCCAAGTTAAAAGTTCAGCCCATCCTACAGAGCTCTGGCTCGGTTTTGGGAGCAGAACTAAATATTTCCACAATACAGACCAGAACTATAGCATAACCAAGCCAAAGGAAAAACCAACTCATAACCAGGTCCCCTGACTGGTTACTAGTGGTTCGTGTGAGGTTTTTGGAGTGTGCATGCAAAGCTCTTGGTACCCTTACTGAGAAGACAAAAGAGTTTTCCACTGAAAATCTAGGTAAGAAAGCAGAAATTCCTGGAGAAGAAAATTTTAATTATTCTATTGGGTGGATACAAATATTTTTTTAGCTTCTTGGTAGGACAATCCTCATTATCAAAGTACTTTTCTGAAGAATAAGATAACAAGTGATATATTGAAGGTATTTTATAAAGTTCCACAACTGAATGTATAAATATCCCCGGAACTTCTCTCCTTTCTTCATGATGAGTGCAAAAGGAAGAAGCAATAGAAAGGTTTAAATTATTACACTTTTTCCTGCTTCAAAATTTTCCTCACGGCGCCTTTCCTCTGTCTGAGGAGGATTTATTTGTTTGCAGTCTTTAAAAATCTCTTTATGCATGCAGAGTAAGGAACGTGTGAAACTGGAGACAAAAACATTCAGACTGGAAGTCAACAGCCATCCAAAGTGTCAGGGAGAACAGGGAAATAAGTGATGGGCACTAAGACTCAATAAAAGTGTGGAGAAGCTTTGATTTCATGCAGCTCCTGTGGATTATTCTCCCCAAAATGAAGCTTCAGCTTTAAAAGAACAGGGAATTTGCAAAGTCAAGGGCTCACACACCATGAAATGTCAACCCTCTGGTTATCAGCGCCCCTGAGCAGAGACTCTGGCAGAGCTGATCTTTCCGTACTCATTTATTTTGCAAACCAATGTGGTCCCATTTTACCACAAGGAACTGCTTCTGTGAAGATCCTGCTGAGCCCCCACAGCTCCAGAAAGAGATATTTTTAGTACTAATAGAACCGGGGCAAAATGCAGATGCTGAATTGTGTTCAGCTTCTACAGTCCATAGACAACGTGACATGTTTTTTGTTTGTTTGTTTTTGGAAACTGCAAAATTTGGACAAATTTTTATACAGAAAGGAAGGTTACATTTCTGGCACAAAGAAATGCCAAATGTCAAGTCCTCAATTCTGTATCACATTCCACAAAGCAGTTTAATTTATTTGAAACATAAGCAATGCACCTTGCCTAAACTTCTTCCTTGGAAAACTACAACATCTCAGGCAGAGACTCAAAAAAACCCACAGAACACCAAAATAAAAAAAATCATCAAACACAACCTTAAGCTGAGGCAGAGCTTGCTTGGCAGATTTCATCCCAGATTAATATAAATTCATTTACAAGCAATTGAAAACCACAGTCTTGTAATGGAAAGTGTTAGGCAGCTTCAACAAAAGGCATTACTGTCCCTATCGCCCGTAATTAGATCGCAGCGTATAAAATGCACTGCATGGCCGGCATAAGATCAATTCAAATCCCATGATGTCAAAATTATTCCTCAATATCCTCCAGCACATTGCCTGCAATCTGATTACTTGAACACAAGCACTGTCCTTCCTTCCAGCTGCTAGAGTTGGCGAGTCCCAGGAACTGGCAAGGGGAATATTAAGCACCCAAGAAGGATGGGGAGTGGTGAGCCAGCATCTCCCACCCATGGTTGCCTTACTCCAAGTAGCTTTGGAGTCTTAAAAATCCAGTCTTAAAAATCAAAATGAAGACTCATCATTTAGCCAAAAGAAAAGGAGGTTAATCCTTTGAACTGTTAACTGACCTTCCTCTTATAGGCAAAGGAGACCTCGGAGGCTTTGGCATCTTCACCAGCATGAGGAATAAATCAACCTGGCATAAAGCTCTAATGGCTGCAGCTCAAGAGAATAAATATAGTTTTTTCTCATGCGGGTAGAGGGGGGCACAGAAGGCCGTTGAAAAAGAGCTGCATTTCTTAATTGAATTTAATGAAATATGTAGGAACAGAGCTTCCCATCCCTAATGCAGTCTAAGGAGCAGGGAAGGGCCAAGGTGATACATTGCTAATGTCATGGCTTGGCTGAAGGGCAGTAAAAGTGGGCTGAAACCAAGAAATATCATATCTGTTCAGCAGCACCTTTTCTGCTCTGTGGTACAGTTAGATGGCTCTGGCTCTGCATTTATTTCTTGGTCAGCTCATTAGTCTACACCCACAGGCGAGCATTACCACCTCCACTGTCTTCAGGTGGTGGAAGATGGAAAGCCAGTCTTTTTTTTTTTTTGGGCAGGGGGGGAAAAGGAGGCAAAAAAGACTGCAACAGAAGGATGCTTGCAAAATTACCTAAAAAGTGGAGAGTTTCACCAGCGTTGACCCTCCCGTAAATCAAAAAAGCAGGGGATTTTGCAGGAAAAGCCCTTTCAGAAGACAGGCTGTGTTGTGTGGTGGGGGCAAAAATATTATGAAGAGCAAGCACAGCCCTCAAAATGGGCTAATTATAACCCAGTGTATGGCTGGAGAATAGTATTGTTTGAAAAAAAGGATAATTTCTCTCTATTTTCTAAATGTAATTAATTTTCTGTTGCAGAAATCTGCAACCTATGGATTAAGAAAGTCTTGTGGAAAGTACTCACTAGCAATGAAAGTTGGCTCCTCGTGGAGCTGCTTTGGCCCCCAACCCTACAACACAGTCCTGCAGACGGCAGTCGTGTTTTCAAAAGGAAGCACAGACCATGACATCATCCGAAAGGGAAACTAGGAAGCTGAGAGGCTAAAACATGAAAATCTTAAAAGAAAACATATTTGCTAAATGTTGCAAAGGGGCTCAGCGATCTCCATACGTAATGCCATGTAGCTAAAGAAAGTGATTTAATTTCCCATGACATTTAGTGAACGATTTCTCAGAAGAGCCAATTTTATACATGTGTACTCAAAAACACAAAAAACCCTCAAAGTTGGTGGGATAATCCATGCTTGTGAAAATCTAGGAAGTTAACTTGTTTTTCTAAAACAAATAAATTTTCTAAAACTTAGTTTAAAAACTATTTTCTCATGCTCAAATAACAAAATAGTTCCAGCTCTGATTTTTCCACTTGGTGCATTTGTAACCTGTCACTTTATAATTGATAATTAGATGAGATGCACCAGAAACGCAGATATAATATTTCTTCTCTTAAGGCTGCACAAAAATAAAAAGCAGAGATTCGTCATATGGCAGGAGACAGCTCTGCTATTTAAAAACTGATGCTTATAATGTTTGACAAGTGCCAACAGCAGTTATAAAAAAAAAAAAATAAAAAATTGAAGTTGATTATTTACACAGCTACCAAAAATTCTTCCCTTTTTTGGCATCTTTGGAAAGGAACGCGACCTATCTAAAATTGTACCCGGGTAGGTCAGCCCGCATTCCCAGCGGGAATGAGCCTGGGATGCTGAAGGGGTTTGGGATGCAGGGGGTACGTACGCTGCTGGCAGGTCTCTCCCCGCCAGCCCGGGAGGCAGCGGCAGGTTCCCAGGACGTGGTTGCAGCCAGCAGCATTCTTGCACTCGCACACCTGGTGGCAGTCAAGCCCAAAGAATCCATCTGGACATGCTGAAAAGCAAAACAGTCATTTTTTTATTTTTTTATTTTTTTTTTAGCAGATTTCCTGTTTCTTTTTGTGTGTAAACTCTGAAGACGCGGGGCGCTGCTCATCTTTTCACGGATGCTTTGTCATGCGTCACTCTTTGAGATCCAAATTCTTTCAAAGGTTAAACCTGCAGAACTCTGCTACGTGCATCTCAGCAAAACACAACCCATTTTTCCCATTTTTTGGGAAGCTGTGGCTGCCCCATCCCTGGAAGTGTTCAAGGCCAGGCTGGATGGGGCTTTGAGTGACCTGCTCTAGTGGGAGGTATCCCTGCCCATGGCAGGGGGTTGGAGCTTGATGATCTTTAAGGTCCCTTCCAACTCTAACCATCCTATGATTCTATGATTCACAAGCAACAGATTTCTGCATAGAAAAACACGGGTGAGAATATATTGAAAAACCATAAAACAGGCGAGAGAATGGATCTGGATTCCCACAAGCCAGAACTTGCACTTCTGTAATGGATGGAGGAGAAAGGAAATAATTCAACGTAATGCAAGACCAGGGGGCCATCCCCAATTATCTCCCTGTCTTTTGAAATGCGAAACTTATGCTCCCATTTACTCTCCTGACACCTTTGTAAAGATTTTTTTTTTTACCAGCGAACATAAGCCATAGTGGTGTAGTTCAGCGCTGAAATGAAAACCTGGCAAAGAGAAGGAGTAGAGAAAAAAACAAGATAAATTAAATGTAGCAAAACAACTCCAGGGAGCTTAAGGAGCTCAGTACCTACATCGAGGACACATAAGAAAGAGCAAGTCCCTGGATTCAATTTACATCTGTACCAGTGCTGACAGCGGTGGAAATAAGCCACCGGTGCCTGTCAGGGGGCTGCATCATACCCAAAATGCTGCATTACAAGAATGTTAAGGCTGCTACGCAGAGTTAAAAAAATAATAATTTGGAATTATGTTGTCGATGTAGCCTTAACTGCTCTGCATACATATGTGTGTGTATAGATAATATAAGTACCTGTATTAGGTATTATATTAAGTATCTGTATAATTATGTTATGCTAAATGATAATAAATCTGTAGACATACAATTGTATGTCATTCTTTCCAAAGAACCCCTGAATCACTCTCAGGAGTGACCACAGTCTCAGCAGTTATATTTAGAACCTGATCCTCACACTTCTGCCATGAAGTCAGAATGCCTGGCTTCCCAATCCAGTCTTGTGACAATTATCATCATTTACACAACTCCATGACCCTAATTTCACACCTCTCTGCCAGGTCAGAACACCACCATTATCCAGATGCATCTTCCACTGGAAGACTCTTCTGTCCCTTTCCTTGCCCTGTCTCTTCTTTATGCCCAGACTCTCGGTCCCAGTCTTCTCTTATTATCACTTCCACAAATGCAAATTAAGCCCTCTGAAAGGGCAGAAAGCCCTGCCATCTGCTTTGGATACAAGGGGGAAAACCCAGTATTTGTAGACAGAGGCAAGCCTGGACCTTCAGACAGCGAAGGGCAGGAGGGCACCAACTGCCACATCCCTTTGGCTCCTTTACTCTCAGAGCTCCTGCCCAGCTTGTGCTACGTATGATGGCTCCATCTTCTCAAAATCAAAGGCCTGCTCTTCCCTTCGTCCAGACTGCAGCTTCTTCTTTGGCATACGACAGATTTCAGGCTTGCACCACTTTCCAAACACGTGTTGTCTGAGAAAAGCAGTTTCTATCGTAGCGATATCAAACTGCAACACATCCCTCCAGCCTCCGTTCTGTTCGCAGTGGGGAGGGAGCTGTTATCAAGTTGTAAGGAAGAGACATCAACATGTGGTTTCAATCTTTACGTCCTTATTTATTACACTTCAGCAGCCTGTATGGCACAGCATACAAGAAAGGACTTCTCCTGCTTAACCCGAGGTGACTTCAAAGGCTGACAAAAGTTTTTCTTTGTTCAATGCAGGGACTACACAGGGTTGTCAGCTATTCCTAGACATGCGCAGTATTTATTTTTTCCCTTTTATCTTATTAAAACAGAACTCTTGCTGGGCTGTCTTATGATAATGATTAACTGCTGAAATCCCAAGGGAGAAGCCCGGTCAGTCTGTCCTGCAGTAGTGCTCATTTAGACAGCAATTCAAATGCAAACTTTGAGCGTTGAGCTTCACAAGAGCTATACGTTGCCGTTATTAATGCATTGATTAATAAACATGCTATAGGAGAAGTCCGAGAGCCCTGCTGCCTCCAGTTTGTGGCATTATGGGATATTCAGCAAGATCAAGCTGCGAACTGGGTAATTCTTCTGTTGGCCTGATCCCGTAACCGGACACATGCCTTGGGTCACACAGCACATACCAGAGCAGCAGGGGACGAAATTAAACAAGATTACGGTGCAGCGAAGACAATTGCAACCTTCAAAGCGGGAGCAGCAGATGCTCAGCACTTCACACAATTAAATCAATTATAACAATTGCCTTCCCAAATGGGAGCAGAGCAAGCCCAGCGCAGGGCACCGTGACCTGGTGAAGGCAGGCACCACCTCCAGTCCTCTTGACATCAGGAGCCCATGGCCCAGCATTCATGCATGTCAGATGTTAACATTTATTTGAAGAAAGCACTGATGTATTTAGCTATTTATTACAAGAAAGATTGGGTTTAGGTTTTAGGGTTGGGATGGTTTGGAAAGGATGGAAAAGGAACAGCCATACTTTGTTCCCACCTGAAAAAAAGAAAACCAATCCCCAAAAAACCCAAAGGCAACTTTTGTGACTTCTGCAATTTCAGCTTGAATTGGGATCCCGTGCTGCCACAATGCACAATGCCAGGAGCAACAACTGCAGGCTCAAACAGGCTCATTGTGCAAGTGTGATATTAATTATTAATATTAATCAATATTAAATTTTGTGAAGTACTGTCTTCTCCTAGGACTTTGAGCTTGGAAGCTTGCAAAAGTTTGTTTCAATGTTTCTGTGATGATGGAAAAGTCATTCCCAGCCACGGGATGAAGCATCAGCAGTACTTGAGAAGTCCAAGGCAACTCAGCCATGTTGGGTCTCAGTCTCTACGTTCTTGTCTGCAAGGCACAGAGCTTGGCCAATGTGGGAGGATTGCCAAGAAGATGGCAAAAAGCACATCCCCGCCAGAAGGAAACCCTGCCAGTCTCTGAGTCACTAAAAACAGAAGTGCTACAGTTCCTCAGAGAAAAGGTGCCAAGAAGGTTCTACCAAGGGCAAACCACCCACACGCTTTCCTTCATCTTCATCCTTTGGAACCAGCCAAACTGTTCTGGTTGAAACTTTCTACGTCAAAAAGTAACAGGTCAGCTCAGAGCAAACACCCTGCCTGTCTGAGGAAAAACATGTTGAAAACAGTCTTAAGAACAGTAAGCACTAAATTCTACCTATTCTCCTTTCTACATCTTCTTTCAGGAATTTAAAAAGATAAAAATGTCCAACATGACTTGATTTACTGATTTGGAAACTGAGACTTGTATTTTTTTTTGCCAACAGACACCACCCAGGCTTCCCCATATTCCTCACACCTCCTGTGGCGGGGGATATTTAGCCTCTCTGTCCCCATTTTGATTCCTGCTGGAATAGACAGATTAACACCACAACACAGATAACCATATAGCTCTTCCAATTAAAAAAAAAAAAATAAAATAAAGAAGATAGATTTGTGAAAACAGAGCTAAAGTATATAATTTTGAAAAGGGACACAGTGGAGATACCATAAACTATGAGGCACGCTTTGCAGCAAAACTCCAAGAAGAGTATTTTTTATAATTCCTGGTAAGAATGGGAAGGGAACAAGAAGCAATATCTTCACAGCAAGTCAGTTGGGTGCTCTGCTGTTCCTGGAAGGGCTGTGGAGCAGCTCCCTTCCCATCAGAGGGCAGCAGCTGCCTGCGAGTGCTGCCGCCTCCCTCTATCACAGCTGAGACACTGCCTCTGGCTGATAACGCTGCTTTCTAAGCAAAATAATTGGAACTTTGGTTTAATGATCACCATTTGTAGAATCTTCAATCCTTTGCACTTAAATAACTTTCATACTGACTGACTACATGCTGTTTCTGCTGTATTCAATACCATTTTTTTTTATGATGTGGACAATGATGCAGCACGACAGCAACCTTGGACGGTGCCACTCGTAATAATGTATCTAAGGAATCCAGTCCAACCTTTCCAACACTTTAACAAATGGTAGGTAATTGAAGATCTGTTGGATCTATTAAAGTTAAAAGTATATCTTTCTTAAAGAGTTCCTTTGGGAAGATGCGCAAATCCTTGTTTTTCCCTAAAACGTTTCAGAGATGCACTAGGAACAAGCCCGTGTAAGGCAGGACAAGCATCTTTCTGCTCAGTGTTCAACCAGTAGGACTCTGCTTAAAAAGAGAGTCTTCACAGAGGTGTGCTATAGCAGGAGTCTTCGGCATGTATCTAACTTTAACCACATTAAAATACGTGCCCAGCACTAGGCACCCTGCAAAATGCAGGATGGAAGCATCACCTTCCAGTTAGGTTAAATGGTTTATTTAAATGAGGCATTGTAAATTGTAAACCCAGCTCTCTGCATGAAAAAAAAACCCAACACCAACCAACCAACCATTGCATAAACCTGAGAGGGACCAGAGGGAGAAGGGATACCTCTTTCACAAAAGGTTCCTGTCCAGCCTGCCGTGCAGGTACAGGCTCCGCTGACGTGGTCGCAGGCAGCTCCATTCTGGCACTGGCAGCTGGACTCACAGCTCGGGCCAAAGCTTCCCTCGGGGCACCCTGCAGAGGAGGAATCAAAACCAGATGATGGGTTAATTCTGGAGCAGATCAGGGATCAACAGCAGAGTTTTTAGATACGTGGGAATTCAGACTATTTCCAAAAGAAGAATCAAGGCGTAATGGTTAACTCCTTAAAACTGATGTGACTAAGTCTCCTCCTTTGGGTCCAGGTAAGTTGGGCTGTTTCTGTTAAGGTCTATTTTAGAAAAACACTGGGGTGTTGAAAGACTAAATTCTGCACAGAAAACTGATATCTTCTGGTAGTTGCAAAGCCTGTGACTTCACGGCTTTGGCTTGATGGACACTTTGCACACTGGTCTGGCATGGCTGATGTGCACATCTCCTCTGGGACTTCATCAGCCAGGAGGGGGAAAGCTCCCAGCTTCTGCACCTCCTTTTGAGGCCCTACCCCTCTGTTTTCCCACAAATCCTCCTTCCCCAGAAAACTCGAGAAAACATGATGTGGCAGCTTCCTTTAGAGAGCTCCAACCGAAAGCTGCATCCCTCACTTACAGGCTCTGCTTTGAAAAATTCAAGTGAAAACATTACATCTGTGGGACAGATTAACAATTACATTTCCACAGCAGTTAATGTAAGGAGTTTTAAGAGATTTGCATGGTACTCGCTATCGGAAGAAAGAAAAACAACACTTGAGAAGGAAAATAATTTCTTCCAGGATTATAGGAAAATCAATTAAGAACAGGGCCAGTTGCCTAATGCACATTAGATATTTTGGACAGGCTGAAATATAGAGATACACTTGGCTAAGCACAATATTACAGGGCCTCTACTCATGTTTGAAGGTCTTGTGAACTCCACTCTAAAGGAGTTACGCAGATTATTGCCAGATCTCTTTTAGAAGTGTATGATTGTAGCATTCACATCAACAAAGTGATTTTTCAGGCAATCTGGAAAGAATCACAGAGAAAAGAAAACAATTAGGATCCTCAAAGACAGCTCTATGCCTGGAATGAAGGGGCTGGTTTGGTGCTGCCTGTTTGGTACCGTAGGTAGGTGGTGATGGGGGACGGCATGAATTCGCTTGCTCCTGCAGCTTGGTGACTTCTCCACTAACTGGAGCCAACCTCTGGGTCTCTCATCGAGGCTGTAGGTTGGGATGGGAGACAGAAGCCCAGCAAAGTACCTCAAATATTTCTTTGCTTTCAACCCGTGTTGGAAAACAGGCTGTTGTTTAAGTGTGGAGTTGTTTGAATGTATTTTTGGCACTTACAGTTGAAATTCAGTCCCAGGGTTGAATCGGTGCAAAATCCCATTTGCATCACCTCCTATTCCCAAAGCTGCAGATCATCACGCATCACGCCTCCTACGCTAGTTCAATGAGTAAATACATTGAAGTGTACTTAAAGTGCCTGAAAAGCTTGATCCTGCTCGGTGTTTACTTTTCACTTGAAATTTCAGTCAGAGCCCAGAGGACCTGTGCAAGGAAACCAGGGTTCTAGTGCAGTAATGGGTGTGGGGCTCAGCTGAGTTTTCCTCCAACCTACAGCATTTAGCCCGGAGCTGAGGCTTTCAAGGTGATGGCAAGGGGTCAGCACACTTCACAAATGATTTCGCAGCCCACATCACAGAGGATCTGCCCCTTGCTCGAGCAACACCCACTGCATCCCAGGAACCTGAGCTGCCTGCAAAGCCACCAAGGGAAGGAGCCTGACCTGCAGCAAGAGGCTGGAGGTGCCTCAGGAGAAGAGGAGCTCTCCAGGGATGGTAAAGATCTCACCTCTCTCCTCCATAAAATTTAGAATAAATTAAAAATAGGATTATGGCTTTCATAATCTTCCACACAGATGCATGTGTGTGTGTGTATATATGTATGGGTTGTTTTATACATATATACACACACACATACACAATTAAAGTGGGGTAAAAAGCAGACTGAATAAACCAGGAAACCTACAGACAGAGTATTAGGGGTTGCCAGATGTTTCCTCAGTGGCAAGGGCTTCACTGATCACCTTGCCAGAGAAGATGACAACCAGCTATTTGGCAACTTTCTCTCTGCCAAGACGCTGTTTTGAGAGAAGTCAAGAGCGGAAGAGAAGTGGAGCTGGCAGCTCCTTCTCTGGGAGCTGGTCTTCCCACTAACTGTCCTTCCATTCCCTCTGTGCCAACAGCAACAACAGCTGTAAGATCAACTTTCCTGGGTTTTTGTCTTAGGTCATCGTTCCAGATTAATTGTTTTGACATTTCTGTGTGACACCAGCAGTTAATTCTGCCTACACTGCTGAGACTCTGGTAGCTACATCTGTGCTACTGTAAGATTGTTAATCTAATAGATAAAATACTTATTTTATTTAACAACATCAATATAATCAGTAATAATAATATTATTATTAATATTAATAATACTAGCAGCTTAACTATGCAACTTATTGCCACAAGATGAAGTGGATATCAAGTGTTTGCATGGAATCAAAAAGGAAATGGGCACATTAAATGGGAAAAAAAAATCATGTTGTATTAAATACAGAGATATTGCTTCTCTCTCAAGAAGCTCCTGAATGACAAATGGATGAAACCTGGGGAAACATATCAGGAATTATCTATATGCCTGTTTTTATCCTCTTAAGGCGTCTGCTATTGACCTCTGTTAGAGACAGATTAGTGGAGATCATGGGCCTCTGGTAAGATTATTGCACATTTTTGTTGTTAATAAAGAGAGGACCCTAAATCTTCCTGATTTTGCTTCTGTTACGTACATGTGAAGCATCCCTATATGCCTGGCCTTGAAAAAAGATTTATGAAGAAAAATTGCGGACCTAAAACTGGATAAATAAAACCGATGTGGAAACTTTTATGCCACAAGCCAAATATACATCAATCCTGTCACTCACAGGAGGTCTTAACATTAAAAATAGCTGTTGAGTCCAAAACAAGTCTGAAAATAACTTTTCTGGAATCCAAATTAGGGAAACTATCTAACCCCGATGAAACCCAAGAGCCCTGCGACGCGCTGGGCAGACCGGAGGCGGGAGAGCCTGGAGATCGCCCCGGGGGGGGAATCATCAGGAAAAATAATTTCTGGTTTTGCAAATTCCCCGTGTTGACAAAGAGGCAACTTACTCCATTCGCAGTGTTCCCCAGTGAACCCTGGCTCACAGAAGCAGGAGCCGGTGACGGGATCGCAGCTACCGTCGCTGTTATTGCAGACACACGTGTTTTCACAGCGCAGGCCCCAACGGCCACTGTTGCAGGCTGCAACGTAAAACAGCATTTACATTGAGAATCAACTTTGAACTCAGCTAATGGATTATTTTACATCTAAACGAGAGAACAGAAAAGATGCAAAATGGTCTCTTAAGATACAGGCACTCTGGACTCTCCGCTGCAGCACGGGGCACAAATCAATGGAAAGAAATACATTTTTTGCTGATTTATTTCAGCTGAAAGGAAGGGCCCACAGGCAGATATTATGTCATCCATATAAAACTAATTATTCATAGTCAATCCATCTCAATCAATCCACACTCACAAATGCGTAATTTCATGGAAATAAAATATCAGTTATTGACTCAGCAAAAATCTGTGTAACCTGAATAGCTAGTGGGTAAAACAAGGCAGATTTGGGAGCATCCTCCATATTGTCCTCAAAATTCTGGGAAATGCAACATGGACACAGAGAAATCTCACAGTCTCTGTTAAAGCAACTCACTGCTTTCATTCTAAAAATCACATAACACTGACATGAATATGACAACGTACCACAGAATTTCCTTCCTTTCTTGTAAGGATAAAATGAAAGTGCCAATTAGAGACCTGCTTTTGGAGTTGGGCATCCGTTTCATGCCTGGCCTGCGAGAGTTGAAGAGATGCCTTACTGAGATGTCTCTGCACAGCAACTGTTCTCGTATCTTCTCCTGACAGAAATAAAAGCTTTTCTTTGCCACGGTCTCTTAATTTTTTCAGACAGGCTAGGGAGTTATGGAAAGCTATGTAATGGCTCCACATGTTACCAACTGGTTTTGATTTTTAAAATATGCATTGGTGGAAATGTCAGATTTTGCCAGAGTTATCTTCACTCCCAGGCCAGAAAACCCAGGTCCAAAACTTACTGCTGTCGACATTGGCGATTAATTTATATGATTTTATGTGTTTTAGATGAAGTTTAGAGACAAGTTTGCATTTTTTTGCCTTTTTGCAAGAGGGATCATAACGAATCAAGCAGAAAAGACGTGAAAAGGAAAGAATCAAGCAGGATGGCTTAACATTTATATGGTGCTATCCAAAAAAGGGCAAGTTTGTCCTCTTAGAGGGCCATCAATATGGAGAGTGATGCTAAAGTCAACAGGATGCTCTGCTCTTCCAGAGAACAGAATTTCTCCCAGCATTTATACCCACAAATTAAGGAGTGACCTTAAGACACATGACTGTACATGCCACTCACTTGTTGAACAAATCTCCCCTAAACAAAATGAAAAATTGAGAATTAATCTTAAAACTAATCTGTGCTGAAAATGAAAAACGAAACTGTCAGTCAAAACGCTGACAGGACAGATGGTACCGGGCAAAGGGATCCATAGTGTTGAAATAAGAGCTTATATCAATACTTTGCGCTTCATCAGCCATCTATTTCAATACTTTGAACCTAGATAATTAAGGATTATAACCACCCAGGCTGTGCAAACCCATAAACACACAATTTCAGAAGCAATAAGATTAGCAAAAGTATATTAAAAAAAAACTGTAATAGGCTAAGAACAAACAGAGCTGGTTCTTACATTTGCAGTTCAGCCCCCGGGAGACACCGTGTGCCCCGTGGAGCTGATATGCATTTGACTTACGGTGTTTGCAGTCGGGGCCGGTCCAGCCTGGGGGACACGTGCACTCTCCGGTGACATGGTGACACTGAGCACCACTGCTACAGCTGCACGACAGCAGGCAGTTTTGTCCGTAGTAACCAGCAGGGCAGGCTGCAAACAGATGAACAGACCGAAATTTCACCTGGATAATAACTCAAGCACGGACTGGTCTTTTCCAACGAGACAGCAGCAGCTTGTTCCCTAAAACATGCATCAGCTGAACCCAGAAATCAACATGGCACAATGAAAGAAACATCTGTAATTTGTATATTAGGTGTCTGGGGCTGAATCCTTTAAAGAGGGAATAGCTTGAGTGAGTTTTGGATGCTTCCACACATCAGGATCAATCGGTGGAGGGAAAAAGAGTGCTGAGTGAACCTTCATCAAAAGCCATTTTGTGACTAAGAAGGAGAAATAATACTCCACCACTGAGGTCTTGCATGAAGCAGTGCTGTTCCTGAGAGCCTGTCTACTCCAGCACGACAGCCACACTCCAGCTGCCTTTAATACCCAGAGGCTGCACAATGAGCTGTGCCACAGTAGCACAGACCAGTTGCTTGACCATATTCCCATGGTTTCTGGTGGATCTGATACTATTCGTTCTTCCTCACTCCTATTTAACCCCGAGTTAGCTACATCAAGGAGTGCTGCTGCAAACAGAACCCAGGAGTGATGCCATATGGGCCAACTGGCCAGCACCCCTTGCCAAGCAACCACAATCACAACACAAGCACTGTGGCTATTAAACGTTGTATTTCTAAGTATACATTGCCATAAATTTGGCCTGATGATAACATCAATTTAGGATGCAGTTTAGCTTGTCATCTGCATTTATCTGTAATCTCCCTCCATTAAATAATGTCAAATCCACCCCGGGGAATTCCTGAAGCTGAAGAGCACTTTATCTTGGGTCAGCGTGTCTAACGCAACAAGCATTTCACAAAGCAGTGAGAAGGTAAAAATCAGACTGTAAGCCAAATTTTCAAACTGACTTTCTTTTCAGAGAGAAGCCAGATGTGAGGACTTACAGGCAGAGCAGGATGCCCCGGTGTAGCCCGGGGGACAGTCGCAGGCTCCAGTTTCTCTGTTGCACTGGCCCCCGTTGGCACAGGGCTCACAGGAGGACTGGCAGTCTGGTCCCCACCGACCCGCTGGGCAATCTAGAAGAGAACAGC